ACGTTTCGATTAAATAAGTTCTTTGTCAACTTCGTCAACTGCATTCATTATTTAATCTACACAATTCAATTCTCAGATTTATCACACATGCATATGGCAAACTGCGACTCTCTCGCTCTGCTGACTCCTTCCGCACTTTTAGACAGCATCGGGGAGATCCAGTCTTGTCTCATGATCGGCCTCCCTCTTCCCCCCATTCTTTAGGAGGCGCTCAAAGGCTTGCTCGCTTCGTCCAGCACTGACCTCAAGTCTGGCATAGGGACCCTCGAGGTTTCCGGCAACAATTCATGAGGCACCGATCTCGAGGGTGGATCAGCTATGTTGCACTCCGAAGGCACTCTAGCGTACCAAGGCAAAATGAACAGCTCCTCTTCTACTTTGGCGAGATGGTGCACGATGTTGCAGAGGACCGGGTTCTTGGAATACCCCTTCAAAATCAAATACCTCGCAGCTTCGTTGTCGATGAAACATAACAAATGTTTGGACCGCAGCAGGTCCTGCCACACTCGGAAGGCTACCAGGACAACAAAAGCTTCAAGTTCTCCAATCGCCTGCTCCTGATCCTCAGCCATGAAGGATTCACAAAAGTCGCGGCTTGCTTCTCCACCAAACCAGCTTACTACACAACCAGTCTGGTCGATCAACACTCCACCGACACCACCCTCTTTGGCTTCACAGTCGAAGCAAGCGTCCGTGAACAAGAAGAAGACGTCTCCCACATCAGCTTTCACGAGACGAGGCTGGGCATTCAACAACCGTCCCTTGACTTGAAGCATAGCGCTCACCGTTTCATCGCTCAGTACTCCACGCTTCGGAGGATGTAGCACATGCAAACCAAGGACATTGATCAAACGCTTGGTCGCCCGTCCAAAAAGTTGACCTTCTGCGAATCCCAAGCGGCCTTTGAGAGAGGTTGCTTCGTGAGTGGTCAATCTTCGGCTCGACAGGGCACGGTCAATCTGGCCCGAGAGGTCCTGCTTCCGCTTCTCTGTGTTGCGAATCATGACTCTACCCTCTGAGGTCTCGGAGAGGTCAACCATCACCCCTAGCGCAGAGATCTCATGGCTCATGCTGTCAGCCTTCTCGCCACTCACGTCATACCTCCACCCCAACAGGTCCAGCAAGAGGCAAAACGCCTGGTCCGTGTTCCTTGCCAAGCTGCTGGGAGCCACGCAAACGTAGTCATCGAAGTAACACGTGACCATGATGTTCAAGGAATGAGCGAGCCACTGGATCAACCTGGCGCATCTGAGGAATCCAATCACGGACGCCTTGGCGCCAAACGGCAGAGAGTGCTGCTGAAACACCTCAGTGATCTTGAGGCTCGGGTTGTAGACGGCCAGCCGTGCCCACTTCAAAGAGGAATCTGAGACCGCCAACTGTCTGTATGCACTTTTCAAGTCAAAGCTTCTGCCCAGCAACTCGGGGCTCACAGATTTGTCCTCGCACAAACGCATGTACTCGGCAATCATGGCAGCGATGCAATCAGTTCCGTCCACTGTGCACTTGCTTGTGACGTTGACGGCATCATTGACTTGGCTCTCAGAGTAATTGTCGATGGGTCGAACTTTGCCTCCTTGAACAACTGCGAACCTCCGAGACAGACGACCATGGGGCACCTCAGAGGGTGGAAGGCTTGAGAGCCATCCCTTTTCTACCTCCTCGCAAGTCTTCTTCCATAGTTCTTCGTCGACCTCACAGTCGCCACTGGACTTGGTGGAATGGAAGATTGCCTCGTTGCTACTTTTGGCATGGTGGGCGAGGTCCTGGATAGACATAGTCGCTGGTTCGAAATCTCTGGGCAGAACAAGCCCTCCTCCTGCCTCTCCAACCAAGTCGAACCCTTTCTCAATGAGATCCACGATGCCGGGGTCCGGGTACTTCATGTCCTCAATTATCTCCCTGAGCAGCAAGATCCTTTTTCCTTCGAGAATCTGCCTTCTGTGGCTAGGCATCTTCCTGTGCAGGTCTGCTTCTGGTTCTCTGAGCTCCAGTGCCCTGCTAGTCCATTTCTTGAACCATGCTGCTCTGTCGGCCACGATCTTTTCGGGCTTTTCGTTCACATTGCTACGAATGGCATTGGAGAGGTTGGAATGTAGGCTCTCGAACAAGTGCACTGGGTGCCCCCTGAGTAGCGCTTCTTTGATGAATGCGTCTTCACTCCATGGAACGCCAAATGCCACTTCAAACATGGTTGCCTTCTCACTGCTCTCCCCCCTGTCTTGGTGAGAAGGAATCTGGGAGATGCGAAGGATGCGAGCATGTGCTGGCAGGCTAGCATTGTCGGCTCCAAGGGCGGTAGGCAGCTTGGAGCCAACACGAAACTTCGGTGCTGTCTGAAAGCGTGCTGTCTCAACATGGCTGTAATCTTGCATAAACGCCAGGGACTTACGAGTTTGTTTGACTGTACTCGCCCTGGCTTTCTTGTCGGGATGTGCCGGCAGGACAGACTGCTCAAAGTCGAACTGTTTGGAGATGCTTCGGAAAACTGCCGCAGCCCAAGCTTTGCATAACTCCGTTGGATATTCAACCTCCGCAGCTGTTGCGAAGCCAGACTTTGTTCGGCCCCATGGCAAGTGTTTGTGATTTCCAGTGCAGTCGCATGCCAGCTGCTGCAGCTCTTTGATGTCGGTGGCGATTGCTGTTCGTTTGGGTCGACTGCCACCATACATGCAAGCACTGAACACTACATAGATGGGCGTGAGATGTTGCAAAACCATTCTCCAGAATTTTGTCAGCCAGAAAATGGATCGCTCTGGCTGTTCCACCGACCATCTGATGTTGTTGAAGTGGCAGAACAAAATCAAGCGACAACAAACTTCGTACACTTTGTTTGCCAGCCGAACTCGTTCTGCATCGTCTCCTGTCAGCCATGGGAGACCTTCGGGGTATGCATCATTCCTCAAGGGTTGTGGCTGATATTCTCCGTCGTTGAGGTCAATCTCGCGAGCCCGGGGTGCAGTGCCACACGGAATGCCCCAATGCGCGTAAGCGCACAGTGGATTCGATAACCAACTCTTGGCTAGCGCTTCGCCATGTGGAGTTGTGAGGTCAACCTTGACGATGGGGCACTTGGATCGTGGTTTCACGACTCGATCTACTCCATAGCTGGAGGTCAAGCCAAGCGCTCGCAGCTGAGCCGTTAAGCCACCGGTGCCGGAGCAAAATTCGATGCAGAACGGCCTGGTCTCTTGCGCCTCGCCACCCTGCACATGAACTGTAGTGTGGTGGCTGTCAACATGTCCTTCTTGGTGAAACTCTTCTGATCCTCTGCTTTCGAAACTGCTTTGACAGACATCTGCAGCAGAAGATGAGATCTGTGCTCCTTGTTGATCTTCGTCAGCAAGAGAAACTGTGCATTGAATTCTCGGGACGACATCATGCTTGGGCTCGTCCCCAGCCCCCTTCTGTCACTTCTTTGGGCACGAGTAGTGGGGGTGGTTGCCAAAGCACCCTTTCGTGGCACAAACGTGCATGCCCTTTTCGCACGAGTCGCCTGCTGCTGCCTTGTCACACCCATCGATGTTGTAGGCAAAGCACAATCGTTTGCCTTCTGGTGTGGCTGAGGCACAATTCTTCAACTGGTAGGGCAACTTCCCGGATCCACCAGTCTTGCCGCCGCCCTTCTTCCATTGCGTCTGCTTTGCACTCTTCCACGAAGAACTCTTTTCAGTGGCCCAGTTCTTCCATGACGCAGTTTCTGTCTTCTGCGTTGCCGGTTTTGCAGGCTTTGAGTGCGTTTTCTCCTGGGCCGTGGGCAGCATGTAGTACACCACTGTGTGGTCCTTGGGAAGGTTGTCGATCAAGTCGTCCAAAGGCCGAGTCCCATCTGCATGGGGTTTGACGCCGTCGCGGCTCAACTCCTGAAGTCGAACAAATGCTTGACGGTCTGCCCTGAGCAGCTGTGTCAATGTGGGTGCCTTGAAGTTTGGAGGTGGAGCCTGGCGCATCAAGTTGAAGAGGTATTGGATCCACTTCTGGAAGATGTGGAAGTCAACCAAGCCCATCGCATCAAAGGCGAGGCTCCGGCGCGTCATGGCCTCCAACATGTCCAACTCGGTGCCAGTTGAGCACTGCTGCTCTGTGATGGAATCTTTGACTGTGATGCCAGTGCCACTGGTGTCCAGCTTCAGCTCTTTGGGTGGCTTGGCTGAAGTGATCTCTTGCATCCTGGTGATGCACTTTGATGGTGCCAAGTACTTCAAGGTGTCAGCCTCCATCATTCCATTCAGCTGGTCGTAGACCTGGTAGGCCACTTCCATGTTCCCTTCCATCGACAATCCTCGGAGTCTCACACGTTGATTGGCGACGCGTGAGCTCCGCTCTGCTGGTGGCATTTTCCTCAAGGTCGGGTCTGCATTCGGATCGGCTTGAGATCTGGCCAAGGCCACCACGGCCGTTTGTGCTTCGAAGACCAACCTCCGCATTGTTGCAAGATCACCAACCGAAATGACACCACCAGGGTCACTTGCCGTCATCAGGTTGCGGACGTCCTGCTCGGTGACTGGCGTCCCAGGCTGACCACAACTAAAGGCCAACCGCCCCAACGTTGTGACTCCGGCATTCTTCAAAGCTTGAGTCCATCCAGCTTCCAGCCCCAAGTTCGCCGCTTGCTTTTCAAACGCTGCAGTGCTCTCCGTGAGGTTGGTTGCTGCTGCCATGATCAACGAGGGGTGTGCGAGCTTCAAGAAAACAAAATATTGAATCCCATGACGATCATATGAAGCATACTTAGAACATCTTGTTGAAATCATGTCTACTTGCAATCGCAGAGCCCTCGAGGCGGGATCGTTGCTGAGCCCTCATGGCCACGATCGATAAAGAGGAAATAGTAACACAACTCAAGAGCCCTCATGGCGCGAATCGAACCGAAGGAGGCTCCTCAAGAGCATTCGCCCTCATGGCCCAAAATACGTCAAACAAAGAAAACACAACGACCTCAAGTCAAAAGAATCAAGACCTCACGTCGCCTAGACATGCATCTTGTTTGCCGTTCTACTGACCTCTTGTCGATTGTGGCGGCAAATCAGCAAATCGCGACACTGATGCATGTTCACTCACCTAAGACACACTCTCTATGTTTTGAGTCGCTCACTTCCGTAAAGCATGCTGGCTTCAGATACGCCGACGCTTGCTGGCGTTGACTACATCTATCACCGACTTGTTGTCAGCATCTTTGAAACACTTGCTGCATTTGGGCCAGCTAAAAATCGACCCCTCTGCCAAGACGGTGAAACCGCTGCCATGGAGTCCACATGACGTAACCGGCTGCAAATGGTTCTTCGGGTCAGGGTTCTGCGTGTGCAGCATGCGACTTCTTTTGTTTTGCATCAAAGGCCCTTTCACCTCGGGCTCCAAGCCGCTCTCAATGACGCTGGCCTTCTCTTTGTGCAGCTCCTCCTCATTGTCGGAACTTGCACTCGAATTTTCACTCTCACTGGCACTCTCCACGAAGCCTTCGACATCTTCGTCTTCGCCATCACGTCCACCTTCTTGTGCCTCTTCGCAGCGCTCTTCGACATTGCCAGATCGTTCAGGCTCTCCGAAGGGGTTGTTCGGGTCAAAGCCGGTGTCGGCAGAAACATCCTTCTCGCCCTCAAAAACCGATGGACTCCCAAAGTAATCTGCCTCATCGTCGTCAGGTACACGTGGCTCGAACAACGGTGCCTGTTTCCGCACCATCCACCCCGAGCGTGTCCCGTCTGGCACGAAATTCCCGAGCTTGATGTTGTAGACCATGGCGCAAAGCTCTCGCATGGGCTGGCTCAACATGTCGCGACTGTAGCGTGCTACACTATTCTCTTTCAGAGAATGATGCCCCAGCAGACCTCGTACTGGCTCGCTCAAGCCGTATCGCGCTGCCCAAACCAAAAGGGTGCTCTTCAGGGAATGTGTGGTCGTGGCGGCCTTGTCACCATCTTTGTATCCCAGGTAAGCATTGATCATGTTCGTTCCCTCACTCGTCGACACGGGCCTTTTGGTGAAGCCACCGTCAACCGTAGGAGCTCTGCAGATTGGACCGTGAGGCGCTCCCAAGTCAAGCAGCCCAAGTTCTTCAAGAACGGCTTTCCACTTGAGGCCCCAGCTGCCGCTGCCGATGCCATTCACCGAGGCCACATACGGCATGTACATCGCTTTCCTTTCTGCAGTGGTCGAAGTTTTGTGGACCCTGGTTCTGGCTTCCACGAATCCGAAGGGGCCATCACTGGTGTCTATCACGTCGAAGAAGAAGTGATGGATGTTGGCCATGTCGCTCCATCTTGAGCGAGAGTAGATAGCATAGAGGATGCACTCGATGAAGTACTTGTCATACTTGTTCCTGACTGTGTCCAGCATGACCTCGAGCCTCAGAACCTCGGCCACTGTCAAGGGCCTAGCTTGCTCAGTCGGGTCCCTAGTCGCCAAAACTCTGCTCACCTTCCCGGTCAGCATTGGGCCCAGCACAGCTTCGATGTTGAACTCTGCTCCAATGATGTACTTGAAAAACTTTAGAGCGTGGATGAGGTTCTTGCCAATGAACTTGCTGCGCTTCTCGTCCTCTTTGCCCTGCAGGTAGTCGAGAAGGTTCCGCTCCTTGATGGGCCACCACCGCAGGTCGCTCTTTTCGCACCACTTCACGAAGAGAATCAGGTCTCGGGCTCTCTTCAACACGGTGGAGGGTGACCGTACCCCGCACGCATCTCTGATGCACAGCAAAGCGCCATCCCTGTCCATTGACTGCAGCTTCTCCTGGACGTAGCGACCAACTGACGATTCGAAGTTGCAGTCTTCCAGAACGATCAACCAACTTGCCAGAGCTTTAGTCCAGGTAAGATCTAACGTCGCCGCATAGTCTCTGTCGCACAGCGCTTTGATGTGCTTTGCATACAGCGGCATGTCTCCAGGCAAGGACGATGTGACACCTGTGACTTCAACTTTCAGCCTTGCATCGTCTGACGATCCAGGGGCAGCTCCAGCAGGATATGCAACCAAGTCTTCAAGCGTGGGCCAGTCGTCCGACTTTGCTTCTCCAAAGATCTCCTTGAAGATGCCCTGCTCCCATGGCAAGGCAGGCATGCCTGCGCCAATCGATGCCAAGCTCTGCTCAAAAATTGTCCTCTCATAGTTTGCGCGCTCCTTCTCAGTGAAGGCCGGAGCTTTGTCCACCACCTGTTGTCCATCTGCCTGTTCGTCGCCAGGCACACTACCAACTTCCACGTTCACCTCCAAAGGAGCCTCCTCGGCTGCCAAGCTTGGTTCTTTTGGTTGCTGGCCATCACCAACTGAGTTGCCAGCCTCGCGATCCATTCCATGAGGTGCTTCTTCATCAGCCACGGCAGGTATGGCTTCAAGCCACGCGGAGAGTACAGCTTCGTCCATGGCTCCCCCCC